TGAAGATGCCAGAGTTTCATTTTGTTTTTGAGCAGCAGCTGCCCTATCTCCACGCAGCTCTTGCTTAAGAGACCTTCTTCTTGTTAAGTTAGAAGAAGTCATACAAGATCCACACAGATGACTAAATAGGACTCCTGCAGTCTTAACTGGCATATTCTTTAATTTGTATGTTATATATCATATTGAATGCAGTGTATTAAAACAGAGTATCACGGCATTTGTAACACCAACATGCCCATGAATACCTGTTTTCCCTGTTTTCTTTTTTTGATGTGGGTACTTAGATAAGTTAAGATACTAAAATTACTTTCTGCTCTAAGTCATCATTCTTGCCAGACAGCATGAAAAGGGTACTTCTCCCTTCTACTACTGCATGCTTTGCTGTCTCGTAAAATCTCCCTCAACTTATCTATCATAAATACTGTTATGCGTATTCATTATGGACTAGGAACTGTTTATGCAAATGAGTTGTGATCTCCTTGGAAAAACAAAAACAAATCACTCAAATGCATAGACACATCTCTTAAACAAATAAGTAGTGCTGGATTCCCCCAAGGGTTTTTGCTCTGCGTAAGGGCAAGTTAACCCAGTAGATGCTTCAAGTTCTGTATTGCTCAGGAGAGGAAGCCATGAGCGATCTCTCTTGGAGGTGTTGCTTCATGAATAGCTGACAATTCCACTTTAGCCCATAAACTTGATATGCACTTCCCTTGCATGCCGAACTAAATAAATCGAAAAGTGCCAAGTGACTTACAACTAGTGGCAGAAAAATTATTCAAAAGATGCAAAAGAAGATGTGGCAGAATGTGTATACTAGAGCACAGATGTACATTTTTATCTCAGAAGAGAATCTAAGTCTTTTAGTCTGGAGAAGAGAAGGCTCAGGGGAGACATTGTTGCACTTTACAACTTCCGGAAGGGAGTTTGTGATGAGGAGACGTTTTGCCTCTTCTCCCATGCAACAAACAGGACCCGAGGAAATGGCCACAAGTTGTATCAGAGGTTTAGGTTAGACATAAGGAAGAACTTTTTGTCTCAGAGAGTGGTCAGGCACTGGAATGGCTGCCCAGGGAGGTGGTGGAGTCGCCGTCCCTGGCAGTGTTCAAGAGGCGCCTGGATGAGGAGCTACAAGATGTGGTTCATTGCTTGTGGTAGCAATGGCAATGGGAGAATGGTTGGACTACATGGTCTTGCAGGTCGTTTCCAACCATGTGATTCTATGATTCTATGATAAGGATATAGGAGAGATTTTCCTCTTTCTGTCTGCTCAGGAGTCAAGCACAACTGTGGTTCTTGTGTCAAAATTATACCTTACACCAAAACAGGAATTCCATAGAAACTAGTAGAATTTAGCATTTTGAGCACTTGCAGAAATAAAAACATTCCCCTGCAAGCATAGCAGAGGTAAACATCAGCTCTGAAGGCCGTGGAAAAAGCTATGCCATGGTTCCACTCATGCCATTGAGTGATATCTCTCATCCAGTAAATGATAATTGCCTGAGAGCTCTGAAAGTCTCATTTTGGTGGCAAGTGTTATACTGGCTGACCATTATGCAAGAGCTGGACAATGACTGTCTCTGCTGGCTTACATTCTTGACTGGGAAAAGCTCTGTTTTGAACTCGTTAATCTCCATGCATGCTAAAAATGCATCTGTCTCCATAAAGCCATTCCATGTAGGATTAGAACAGTGTCACAAATAAGGGAAGTATCTCCATATAAGCAGGAATGGTTTTAAAATATAAGAGGTGAGATTTGGATAAGATATTAGGGGGAAATTTTTCAGGTAAGGCGCTGGAATGGGTTGCCCAGAAAAACTGTAGATGCCCCATCCCTGGAGGCATTTCAAGGCTAGGTTGGATGGGGCTCTGGGTAGCAGGTGGCAAACTGCCAACAGCAGGGGGTTGGAACTGGATGGGCTTTAAGATCCCAAGCTGTTCTATGATATGGCTGATATGCTCATAGGATAAAGAGGCGATGAGTGGTTTACGTGAATTTGCTTTCTTGGTTGGAATGTGGTGCTTAAACCCAATAAAGATTATACTCTAATAACAACAGATATATAAGCATACTACAACATGTAGGTTTAATAACAGAAGTTTTAGGAAAGAATCTGTATTAGATGTCATGTTGAAATTTACTGTAGCAATCATCTCTGAACTTACATTCTATTCTAGCTATTGAGGATGCTGTCATTTGGGCCTTTGGAGAGAAGGAAGAAAAGATTTAAAGATAAAGTTAAAGATTTTAAAAATTTAAAACTTAAAAAATTAAAACTTAAAAAAATTTAAAACTTAAAAACAATCTCTACCCTTTTTTGAAAATTATGCAGATTAATACTACCTACTGACATGATGACACACCATGATAGTTCCAAATATAACAGAATTTTTCAAAACGGGACAATAGTTAAGAAACAGACTTTGTTATATATATGTGTAGATCTTCCATTAAAGAAGAAAGTAAAATTTTACACTTCTTTAGAAAACCTGTAAATAGGGAAAATCACAAAGAATTCCTCCTTGTGCTACTTTGAAAACATTCTTACAGCATTCTTTGGTATTCCTACTTTTGATATGTGGTTCCAAGCTACTCGAAAACAGAATAGCAAAATATTAGTCATACAGCTTTGCTGCAACAGGAAAGCTACAATTCAAGACAGTTTTAGAAATAGTGATCAATAAATTTTATAAGTCCTCTAAATCTTAGTGATGAAAAATAACCATTGCACTCTTCACAGATAGGTTGGTCTATTTTATTCTGCCCCCTTATAGTGACTGAGATGCATAAATGGTGAAGCGTGTCTGCATGTCATTTTCATCGGCATCACTCTCAGCAACATTCTGGAGATGGAATAGCTTTTGCAAGCCACAATAGGGGCTGCAAGAAAACAAGTGTTTCAACAGTTTGACTGCCAGAATGGAGAATCTGCTTTATTCAAATCCTTATCTCTTCCCTGCAATCCCAGATGGCCTAACTAGTGACCTGGCCCTTCTACTGAGTATCACTGCAACCACCCTACTTATAATCCCAGACAGTCATCAGTCCCTACATGTTTGTCTCTAGCAAACTGGAAGAAGCTTTTCTAAAGGGTTCAAAAGATGCTTGTTGCTAGAGCTAACCAGGTAATACTGTAGAGGAAGCTGATGTGGACAAAATATACAGCCGAGCCACAGTGTGTTCAAAAAATATTGTGCACAAATAATGGCTTTATGTGTAACAGAGATAAGAAAAACTGTATTAGCTTTCAAAATAACAGGTGTGAAATTAAGCAGATGACTGTTTACAGCTTTGACCTACTGATACTACACCAAAGGAGGTACTTAGATGTTGACTTATACTCTAAGAGAACTTGTGTATGTTGTAGATATGTTTGGTTAATTAATACTTGTCTCTACTCTCTAATCTAAGCCAATTTCTTCAGGCAGAGAAGTCCACGTCTGCATTTTTGGCATATTAAAGCCTCCCACTGACTGCCAGAAAGGCCATCAGGTCCAACACACAAAGATTGAAGCATTTTATTCCATCAGGAATAGTGTTGTATTTGCTAGAAATACAAAACCATCTCAGAACTCAAAACTTGTCTCAAAGACAGAACAGAACAGCTTTCAAGCAAAACAGACACAACAGTTACCATTTTGTGTTGCTTTTGGAGGCCTGCTGATGTAGCTTGCTGGTTTCTGAAGCACTGAGATGTACAGAATTGTCTGCAGCAGAGCTGTGAACATGCTTCTCATACAACCTTCTATTTGAAGAGTCTCAACAAGAACAAAAAACCTGCTTATCCAAATGAACTAACAGATAATTTCATCCTTCACTCAATAAAATGTCACTCATTAGTGACTCCATTTCTATGAGGAAATAGTTAAAACCAAACAGATTTTTGTGCCAAATTCTGTTTTCATACAATTAGTGTCCAGTGGTGCCTAAAACTAATTCATCTAACAGCAACTCTAGTGATGGCTTTTTCCCCATTTAAGAAAAATTAACATTGAAGTGTGGAACAAGGCTATGCTAAAGGTAAAATAAAGAAACCATTCTAGTCACTGTCAGCCCAGAAAATAAGATCCAATACTGCAATCTTTTGTACTGTTGAGACACTCACTCCCCGGTCTTCATATTTTCAGTTTTTCTTTGCAAACTCAAATGTCTGCGGGGACTGAGAATAGAAGGGAAGTTGTGGTTAAACCCTTCTGTCCATTCCTTGAATAACTGGATGAAAAAGTAACAAACCATGATTCTCTCTTTCAACAACCACAGAATCACAAAATAAATTGTGGTTAATCTGCAGCAAAAGAATTGTCCATTTCTTCCAGGCAGATGAAGTACAAGATACACAATGATTATTAGAGTACTTGCTAATAATGTAACAAGGGGATTTCCACAAAAAATGTTTAACATTGAAAATTTCATTTAAAATTTAAAAGCTTCACTATTTCTAATCAAAACATTTAAAATAGAATTTTATTGATATTTTAAGACAGAAGACTGCAACTGACCCCACCTGCAGCCTGAATTCATCTGAATCCTGCACAACATTGCATATGGCCCTTCTGGAAAACATTTTCTTAAAAGAAAAAATAAATAAATACAACATCATGTATTGATGGTCTAGAGAAGGAATGATTTCTAAAGAGTAGTCAGAAGGAAGCAGTGTCAAGAGTTGTGTTTTCCAAATTTGCCTAGTCTGAAATTCTACTGCTTGTGTGCACCTTCGCTTCCCTATGTCCCTGTTTATTCAGCCCTAATTGCAACTTTTGTACGTCCTGTGAAACTCCAGAGGTGAGCTGCTGTAACACAAGTTAACTTCCAGTGAGTCTGCTTTACACAGTGACACAGTACTGATTATCATTCTGTATGCCCTTTCTTTAAACATATATTTTTTTTTAATGACGCTCCACATTCAGTCACGTTATCAGTCAACTGTCCCTATGGCCCTGTTTGAACTGAAGTAAGCACTTCTGCATCATCCACCTTCCTTCCAGTGTTTGCTTCCTCTTACCTAGGAGACGGCAATCTTGTCTGCAATTATTTTTTCCTTTTTTATTCATCATGTTATTTAGGCCTTTTCTCTCCAGACCCTTCTTGAACTGGCAGTGTAGGAGTGAAAGTTGGAGACTGCTGCAACCCTTGCTCTTCTTTAGAGTTATGTGACAAGATCTAGAAAAAAAAAATACTGATCAAAATTTGAACACATTAAGACTTTGTTTAGCTTAAAAAGGAGAACTGATGGCACAGGTGCCATTCTTCAAATATGAAAAAGCCACTGTAAAAGGAAGGGAACAACTGTTCAGTATGTTGATACAAAAAGAAAAAAAATGAGTCAAACTTTCACCTAAGGAGGCAGAAGAGAAGTGTACTAAGTTGAATACAGTAAGAGATATCCAGGGAGGTTCCCTCCTGGAAATCTTCTTTGAATATTCATGAGGAAAGAGATGGGGAGACTGGGTCTTACTACATGGCAGCAAAATCAAAGGACCAAGCAGATGAACTCTTCACATTTCTTTCTGTCCCCTAGGACTATGCCACAGAAGTGTATAAATGTGATTTTGAAAAATGAATCAGGTTCCGCATGGCAGCTAAGGGTAAATGCCTCCCCTTTCTTTTCTTCCCCTGAAATGCTCCGTCCATAAGGTTAGTAAAGAAATTCTTTCCAATTCATATCTGATCATGAGATTAATTTCACGCATGTCAGAAAGATGCAGGAACCAAGAGTCCAGATGAGTCTGCAGGACCACCATGAATACCCTGCCCATTTCTCGCTAGCACTGATCTGACATTCTAGAGAAAGGTGACACTTCCAAATCACTCTAGAAATAATCAGCGTTACTACAGGAAAAAAAAAAAAATCAATCAAAAACAACAGGAATCATTTCTTTATGACAGATCCCTGGCACTGACACTGTTCAGCTTAGTACTGCCATGTGTTCAGCCCACTGCACCAGAGCACTGCTTTTATGGAACCACTTCCACTGGTCACCAGACCATGTGTCTGTCTGCAGCCACATCACTGCCATTTTTAAGCAACCAAAATGCCTGTACACACAAACCAAAATCTATGCTCCCTGTGTATGTGCACCTACAAATTCAGAAACGTTTGCAGCCTGTCACCTGCTGTTTATGCATGCTTCTAGCATGAGGGACATGACAGCGCAGGGTGGGAGATGCTTGCAATTTGGTCACATCGTGGTTCAGTTTGGGTTACACAAAAGAGAAAAAACTGTGCAACAATCAGGGATTGAGCAATGGGCTGCAAGGAGGATTACAGGCATCAGGTGAGATAGCTGTTTTAATTCAACTTCTCAGCCTTTTTTAGGCTGAACAAAATGAACTCCAGGACAGGTCTCCAGCATAGAATCATAGAATCCTCAGGTTGGAAAAGACCTTAAAGATCATCAAGTCCAACCATTACCTAACCATCCTAACCCTAACTAACACCCTCTGCTAAATCATGTCCCTGAGCATACTGAAGTGCAGAACAAATTACAAGACATTTTCTGCCAAGACAGACCAGTGCATTTGGATTTTGTTTTTGCTTATTTTCTTGTTGTAACATCACACAGTTTCAACTCCATCTGTGACTGCAGTGCTGAGAGAACAATAGAAAGCAGAACACTTGCAGCTAGAATCATCCAAGTTTTAGCTTCCACTAGTCCTCTTTGCAACCCACAGAGCAGGGTCTATCAGTAACAGGAGTCAGAAATGCAAAGAAGTTGGCCGGGTGGGCATACCACACTGGTACACTTTGTGGCCTAGGAGTACCAAGCATGCACCTTTCTTTAAACCACCATGATCACTTTAGACTTTCCATTCACAGCAGTCCTTCAGGATCAAAACCAGACAAATCTCCAGCTGACGGGATGCGTTACATGAGGCAGAGCTCAGGAAAAAAGCAGCATGGAGCTGTCAGGGGAAGGGGTTAGGAAGAGGTTCTTCGGGAGAGGACAGTGAGCACAGAACAGGCTGCCCTGGGCAGTGGGCACAACCCCGACTGTCGGAGTTCAAGGAGCGTTTGGACAAAGCTCTCAGACACACATTTGACTTCTGCGTGGTCTTGTGCAGAGCCAAGAGCTAGACTCGATGCTGCCTGTGTGTCCCTTTCAACTTGGGTCCTTCTGTCACTCCACGAAGGTCCATGCGCTACACCACGGAGGCCATGGGGAGGCACTGGATGTCACTCAGAGCAACGCAAAGGTACTTTAAGGTAACCCCTCCCCCAAACAGTCGCACGAGTAGTTGCAACGCAAGCTGCAGCCCTTTCGCCCTCCGTCTAAGAGGTTTTCCGACGTGTCTTATCATAGAACTCCTACAGTCGGCGAGCCCACCGCCTCAGGCCTCAACGCTCACTGCGCCAACGCCCCACGCTTAACCCCCGCACTCCAGCGTCCCCCCAAGCGAGCCAACGCCGCCGCGGATCAGCGGGGAGCGCGGGAAGGAGCGGTGGGAGGCTGACCGCTTTTCCTCACGCGGGGCCACTCCGGCAGGTGCGGGGAGCCGCTCACCTCCCCTCAGCACCGGCCGCCCACTGACGAACGCGGCCTGACAGGCGCGGCCCCCAGCAGCCCCCCTGCTCCGCCAACCGCCGCCCCCGCTGACATCACCGAGCTGGATTTAAATAGCTCCACAGCCCCGTGCCTCCCGGATACAGCGCTCCCCATTGGCGGAGCGGGCAGCCAATGGCACCGCTTCGCGACGCGCTCTCCGCCAATGGCCGCCGCGCGCCTCCCCTGTCGCTAAGGGAGGGAAATACAGCGCGGGGCGCGGGCTGTCAGGTGCGCCCGGCACGCCGCCCGCCCGCCGGTGCGGCAGCCGCGGGCGGGAAGCGGGGAGATGGTTGTTTTGTTGTTTTTTTTTCCTTCTTTCCCTTAATCCTTCCGCATGTCCTCCCCTCCCACCCTCCGCTTTTTTTTTTCCGTTTAACTTTTTTTTTTTTTTTTTTTTTTTTTTTTCCTGCTCGCTGAGGGAGGGAGGGAGAGAGGGGGTCTGCTGACAGCGGAGATTTTGCGCGTGGGGCCACGGCAGCCGCGCCCGTGGCTTCCTTCCACGCCTCACCCCGCGCCGAGGGGAGTCACGGGGCTGACGAGCGGCCACGGAGGACGCCTGCGGCCGCCGGGGAGCTCCGCCGCTCTGACCCGGAGCGGGCCGGGACGGGCTGCCCGGCAGCCGCAGCCGAGGAGGTAACGCCGCTGTGGGAGCTGCCGGAAACGGGAAGCACGGCGGCCGCTTCCCGCCCTTCCCGCCGCCGTGAGAGGAGCGCCCGCGGAGCCCGCCCTGAGGGCCGAGCGCTGCGCCGGGCCCCGAGCTGAGGGCTGTGGAGAGGATCCCTCCCGCCTGGCTGGTAGCGGGCTCCCAGAGAGAGTGTCTGCCCTGCCGGCACAGCAGTGCGTAAAACATTTCTCCTTCCTGCTTCTCCCTGCGCATTTCTGTGGCTTGTCTCGTCCCCCTACCAACGGTGTCTTCACACACTGCCTAAACATCCCAGATTCCTCAGTGCGCACCTCATAAGGCAGCGAGCAGAGCGGGGCTGAGGCAGTTGGGGATTTCATCATGGATTCTGGCTGTGCTGTGGGAGGAGATGCTGAACTTTGTGCCTCCTCGCTGCTCGTCTCCCCCTTCATCCCCAAACCCAGAGCAGGGCTTACGTCACAGTTCTGTGGGGAGATGTTTTTCTGAGATAAAAATTTCTATGCGACCAGAAACATTATTGTAGGAGAAGCTGTGAATACACTGGAGAGGCCCTGGTAAAATAAAATAAAATAAAAATCTGAAGAACGCCCCCCAAAAAAACCTTGAAATAGGAAATCTGAAGTGCATGCCGTTTATGTCTTGGTGATATAATGAAGTTTGTGTTAGGGTTTCTTTTACTGTGGGAAAGGGGAGAGTGCAATGAGAAATCTTCCTTTCCCCCCTGCATCCCCCCCCCCGTATCCCTCTCCCTCCTCCCCCCCATATTTTTGTTTCCCCCTTACCTGCTCTCCCAGTCGGTGAGGATGAGGATTATGAAGTCTTGTTTCCCTTCTGTTGTTGCAGGATGCCTTGGGTGATTCAGAAATGAGCAGTGGGAGCGCTTGGTGATTTTCACAGGAGGAAGACAGCAGCCAGCAAGGCCCCGGCTCCCTGCCATCTTGAGCCCTTCCTGGTGATTTGCAGCAGCACAGATAAGTACGGAGCACTGAGGACTGAAGTCAGCGTTTGGACCTGACTTTATTTTAGTATAAATGACCACATGAGATTCATACCAATGAAGATATAGGAGTAAAATAGCAGAAGTACATAAATGCCTCTTCTAAAAGTGCAGTTTCGAGTATTTAAGGTTAATGAGATAGATAGAAAAGAGTCCTCTTCACGTGTGTTTATGTTTACATGTCCTAACAGAAAGTGACGCATTATCTTACATACCAGGTGTGTTTTGGATGAATCTCTATCACCCTATTGATATCAGGGGAACTGAATTGATTTAAATTAGTGAAGGAACTAACCCAGCTAAGTTTTAAATAATTGCAATAATATTCTCTGTCTCTTTCAGTCAGATTTGCCCTTCGTGTTTAGTTGTTTCATAATCCTGCAGCTCTCCATTTCATCTTTACAAGACCAGAATCTCTATTTTCCTGTGAACAGGGAAAAAAACCCACCACCGTAAAAGGCAGTCCTTTTATATTCCAATCTTTATTTCCTTGTTTAAATAAACTTAGGGCACAAAAGCTCATCCTGTTTTGTTTTTTTTTTTAAATAGGCCAATTTAGCTTCATTTACTTACACCGATATTTTATACAGCAAAAAGCTCTCAGAAGGAGAACGTGTTCAATGCACCAGAACCCTTCAGGGTTTTGATAAAAGGCATGATATCATGAGTAACATCTCCACTTCTGTTATTTTTTTTATATAGTAGCAATGAGATTGAATCACCATTTTTAGCTATTCTTCAGCAGAACTCGTAATCTATCAATGTGTCAGCTCAACAGCAGTTTTCTCTTCACACTAATGTGAACCAGAAGGTCCAGCTATCGTAGATTTTGACAATTTTATCTGAGATTGCATACATTGCAGAATTTTGAAGAAAATGAATTGTAGGACCTACTTTGTTTTTCTAAGCACGTACAAAACGTAAAACACGTCCTCGAAAACATTTTAAACTCATTTTACAGGATCACATTCCTAAGTTAGGTGTTTCATAAGCATTAGGTTATAAGCACTCTGAAATAACAAGTATAAAATCATATGTGGGTCCCCATATCTTTTTAAATGTCTCAGATTGCCCTCTATGTTGTTACATAATGCACCATAAAGAAATACATGCCTTCATTCTCTTTAAATCGCTCTGGCATGGATAGTGCTAAGCCTTCCTTCAAGTCCTTGTTATGCAAGTCCTTGCTACTGTTAATAGCTGTCAGCTCAGCATGGTTAGTTAAAAAACAAGGTAACCACAGTTTTTGTGAAGCTCATTGCATTGCTGGAATTCACACTGACTCAGTTCCAGGTGCTTTGTTCCCTTTCTCAGCTATAAATTGAATTATTATGAGCAAACAGGTTTTTCTCCATTAGAAGAAAGTCCCATTCATTCCACTGCATCACAATCTAATCTGCTTTTTGTTTAGTTGTGCCTATAAGCGTATTTTGTTATGAGTATCTGGATGCACTTCTGCAGTGTTAAATTGCAGTGAAATAGACCAGAATACAGTAATATTTTGAAAGTTTGTAAAAAAATAATTAAAAAAAGAATGCGGACATATAACTAAGTTCTGAAAAATACCTAGCACAGTAAAAATTCATGACCAGTCTAACAGTTATTAGGTAACAAATAATCCATATAGGCACTAAGCAATATTATGTAAAGTGAAATCTGTGTTACACAGTATAAGCAGCATTCAAGTGAAATTGAGGCAATGTGTAAAGAACAGAAAAAAAATAATTTTTACAGCTATGATGTTACAATTTTCTGTATTTCTTTACTTGGGAAGTGGAATTTTCCTCGTCCTTTTGTAAAGGCACAGAATTAATAACAAGCACTTTAAAGAATCAGGTGCTTTGCCTGCTATTTGCTCTTTTATTTTTCCCCTCTGTTGAACAGATCATTTGTGGAAGAAAATCAGGAGAAACCGAGAAGGGTTTGCCAGTATCTTGGAGATCTTTCCAAGTAGCCTCTTCTTTAACAAGGCCTCAGATTTAAAGATACTGAAACAGGAATATCTCAACATTCATAATACTGCCTACGTTAAGAAAAATTTTGCTCTCAGTTTATACTCGTGTGGGTATGCAGGTAGCAATTCAGTCAAGCATCACCAGGAAAGGACACTTCTTTCATATTCTAGTAACTGATCTATTAGTTTAACAGTCCTCTGTGTCATTTTCCCTATTTTTTTTTTCCTTTTTGTTACTCTTGGAAATTTGGGGTGCTAGCTTATTTATTGCTTTCCCTTCTCCTACTAGCACCCATTTTAAAAGGCTCAGCTCTATTCTGCTCAGGTTGTGTTCTGACACATGGAAAATTTTTATATTCTTTTTGCAAGCAGTAGGGTGGTGAGAGAGAGGGCTGCACTATAAAATAGCAAACCTACTAAACTGTACTCAGTGGGAGATTAAATAAGAAAGAAGAGAATGGCCGAGGCAAGTCGTTTGTCGCAGATGTTCATGCAGTCCTGTTTTTGGTTTTAAGCTGGATTCATCAAACATGCTAAAGAGTAATTTTTGCCTGATATGAAGTTTCTATCCAAGGAGACCAAGTGGGTTCAGTTTAAACTGTGATTTGAAAATGTAAGGAAATGTTACCAGTCAGACACAGGAAAGTCAGGCTGTTTTTACAATCTTAATTCAATAGTAAGAAGCAAAATGTATCATAATTAAATTGCTGTGTAATGTAGTTACATTAGTTACAAAATCCCTTTGTGTACTAAGTACAAATATTTTACCATAACTGTCAGAATTCCATAGATGATAAAGGGTGCTTATGCTGTCAGAGGGTAAGCATGAAATGCCGACGTGATAACGTCTGATACCCAAATGGTGTATGCTGCTTTTGCAGTATTTCCTAAGTTTACAACGGAACTTCAGTAATAAAACTTAGTGAAAATGCATGAGATAAGCATGAATGAAATACGTTGTTGGTTTTTATTGTTTAGATAGGCTGGTTATCGTATTTAATAGAGTAGAACACAAATGAGAAGGCCCAGAAATAAAAGCACTTTAAAAAGGGGATTTTGAAAAATTCACCATGTCAAACTCTTTCTTAGTTCTTACTAGTTTCTATCTATTTTAACATATTTTCCCCTTTTTAAAGTTCATTTCTGTCTCTATCTCCTCAGAAACTCTGTGCTCCTTTCCCAAAAGGGGAAGCATGCTATGGTTACAAATGCCTTCTGTTGATTGAAGCAGAATGATTTTTTTTTTCTTTTCCCAAATGAATATATATGTATGAATTTGCTAAACTTCTCCAGCTATGTTTACGTATGTTATTTCTGAGAAATGATGAGGGATGCCCGACTTACTGCAGCATACTACGATGTAGTAACTGTAGTCGAGCATTTTTCTTATTTGTAATCAAATATACAGAATTGTCAGTGTATTTGCTTTTAAGTACCTGGAAGCTGAATTAGAAACAGGATTTTTAATACAATGAATTTGACATTTCAGTCTGCGCTTGCTTTTTTCTTTTCTAAATGAGCGCTGATTATCAGAAAAATCGAGGCTTACATAATCATGCCATACATTTTTCTGCTCTTCTTTCTCTTCCTCCACTTTAGCCATCATTTCCCTCTGAAAAATGAAAATTTTTGAATAGAGAATTACTATGACATACTAATTATATACACATTTTCATGGGACTGCATAACCAGGCTATTTGTATGTATTTAGTAAAAGAAGGCCGTCAACAAAATATTACAACCTTGAGATGGCTAAACTTTAAAATTACAGTAATCATTAAATACAGCATTATCTTGTTGATGTGCCTGTCTGTGTACCACTGAGTCATTTTTCTTCCCTTGGAGAAGAAGGGTGCTTCTATTTATTCCTTCTTCAAGATAACAGAAATAAGAACGTCCTACCCCATTTTTTTTTAATCGTCACAAAGCTGATTCTCCTTCATAAAGAAGCTGGTTTTAATATTCAGTTCTCAGAGGATGAGAAGCAATTGCTGTGGACAAATATATAGCAAATGAATTGAAGCTCTGTCCTACTAGAACAATTACAAATTGAATTAATTACAAAGAACAATATTAAAATTTTAGCTAAATATGTTAACATGAACTCCTGCCCATAGGTGGCAGTCAGCTTTCACTGTAGTAGAGATGCCAAACTTTTGGTTCATGATATTCATACTTATGCTGATGTAATTTTAATGGAGCATGCATATGTGTGTGTACAGAAGTATGCAGATCTCTGCATTGGGAGAGTGGGGAGAGGTAAAATTAACCCCCAGATTAATTATTGAGTATGAGTATTCTTTTACTATATACAAGCAAAGTAAATTCTTAATTTTTTTAGAGAAGTTCCAAGCAAAAACACACAATTTTTTATCAGTCTTGCTGATACTCACCTAAAAGAAGTAAAGAACACTCAGAAATGAGCAAACCTGCCTCTGCTAATTGAGTGGAAAGGCAAGTATGTGGCCAGCCTTAGACAGCATGAGCTCATGCTATGCCCAGTCCTCCAAGCTACGTTCCTATTTCATAGTTCTTTGTCTGTAAATTACAGAAGTGCTGGAATGATGATGTTGTATCCCAGAAATCCCAGCAATACATTTGGCAGATCCAGAAAAGATACTGGGAGCGAATGCATCCTCTCTGACATGGAGAGCCAGCAGCCTGCAATTCTCTTTCCCTTTGCAGAGCTTCCTTAGACACCCGTGGCAGCACTGCACAAGGGGAAGATGCTGCCAACGAGGGCAAAGACCCACTCAATTTTGCACTCAGCTTTTTTAGGGCTTTACGTGGTTTATGAGTATTTCCTTTTGCAATGGAACTAAAGAGGCACTTGAGACCCCACCAAAACTGAGGGGGATAGAAGAAGCTAATAAGGTCTCAGTTTAAACCAAACAGAACTGGTGAAACTACGTGCGACATACTAAGACAACAGAGCTCTCATGCGAAAGGAAGGCTGAAAATTAAAATTCCTGAGGAGATAAAATCATATTCTTTTTACTGTTACAGCTACACTAGGGTACTTCTTAAAGATTAATCTAATTATACGTCAAGGTAGCCCATTGTATGCATTTCACAGAGGTCAGGAAGTAGCATTTTAAAAAATGAGAAGTGTGAAAAATATACAATTATTTGTTGCTACCAGAGTGTTCTACTGCTATGCAAGATTAAGGGCTCAGAATTGAACAGAATGGTGCAGTATTATTAAAACAGAAGGCCTAATTCTCCTTTTGCAAGGAAGGCAACTATACACACTGTTGTATAAGCTGAAGCAGTCGGTCTGATTTCATAGTTGAACAGGGTATTTTGAAGTGTATGCAACCATTACATGGCTAATTAGATACTTGCATATGCACAGCCCCATTTGCTCCCCCAACTACAATAATTATGAGGATTGCACTCCACGTTAATTTACACTCTTGTGTAACAGAATTGAATACAAGATAGCAGGTGGTGATAAACTGGCTGGTGGCAAATGTGTAAATTTGATATGCATTTTGAAAATCAAAGCTTTCATACTCAGTGCTGATCTTGACATGGAAAAGACGGGTGAAGAACTCCTCAGCCATCA